AGCAACAAATTGAGAGTAAAAACAAATAAAAATGCTTGTAAATTAATAAGGAAGATTTTATTTGTTTAGTTTATTTAAAAAATTATTAATTTTTAAATTATTATAATTTTACAAACATTTATTAATATTATTTTTTTGTCTATAATTCAATGTAATTTTAATATGGCTACAAAAATTGCTAAAAGGAAATGTTTTAAATACAAACTATCTAATCAATAAAAATCGAAATTAAAATGTTAAAATTAATTTAGGAACGAAAAAATATATAAATTTGAGATACGCTAATTGTTACTCGTATGTAGATGCCTAATACGACAAAACTAGCATGCAACATAATGAATTGTGTTGAAATCAATTGTTTATTTAAATTCTTGTTAAAAAATTAATTTAAAATTGATTTTAAATTTAAAACAAAATTAATTAAAAAACTGACTGAAATAGATGAATAAAAATTGATATTATTTTATATTTTTTGTCGAGATGGAAATAAATAATAAAATTAGAACACCAAATCATATTTTAGTATATAAATTATTTAAGATTTATTTTTAAAAATTATCTTTTTTCCAATAGATAAATATCTATAATTTTTGGACAAATTTTTCGAAACATGTTTAATTAAAATTTAGTCGTTTAAGAATTATTAGTTGTTAATTTTATTTATATAGTTTAAAATAGTAAATTATTTGTAGATTTTTATAACAATAATAAATACTTTGTTATTTTAGAATAAGAAGTTATGATCTGAAATAATCGAATTAGGTCAAGATGAAGAGGATTACAAATTAATATACCTAATAAAATCTTTATATAAAATTATATTTTTAAAATTACAATAAGTTAGAAATGAATGAAAGTAACAATCCAAACAAGAAAAATTTACGTCAAAATTTATTATTAAAGATGTTCTGCAAAATTCGGAATAATTTTTGTATAGATAAAAATGAGTAAATTTATAATTTAAATAATATTGTCAAAGATAATAAAATGTAAACATGTAATAAGAAAAAAATGTAAACAAAAAATGAGATATAACTAGGCTAATGTGAATCTAATTACAAATAAAAATGTGAATAATATTAGTAAATGTGTATATTAAAAAATATAATATTAAAAAATTTGTATAATACAGCAAACATCGTGATATAACTTTTGCATTGAAAGTGCGGAACCAGCAGTGAATGTGAGTAACTAGGACCATATACACAAAATAGTTATATGTATATTTAAAAAGACGTTAAGATACAAACTAAATCGACGACGAACACGATATTAAGTGCATCTCCTGTGAGGATTTTTAGTAATTTAAAAAATAAATACAATTCAATTTATAAAAATTTTTGTATAATGTAATGAGCGTTATGAAAAGAGACCCAATAAAAATATAATATTTAAAATCAATATTAAATAAAATATTAAATAATTTCGACAAATTTTTAGAAATAGACTAATAGAAATTGAACATTTCAACAATGAATTTATTTTTCAAATCATATTTAATTTGAATTTAGTTGTTTAAGAGCTAACTAAATTCAACTTATATAGTTAAAGCAATTATTCGCAGATTTTTATAAAAATAACACAATTTGACATTGTATCAGTTATAGTGTACGAAATCGAACTAGGGCAAGACGAATATAAATACAAAGTATTATAGTAAAATCTTTATATAAAATTAAATAATTTAAATTATGATAAATTAAAATGAATAATAATAATAATTTAAACAAGAAAAACAAAATTTGATCCAAGGTTTATTATTATAAATGTTCTGCAAGTCCAGAATAATTCTTGTATTAATAAGACTGAGTAAATTTTTGTTTAAATAATATGTCGAAGATAATAAAATGTAGAAATGTAATAAGAAAATATGTAAACAAAAAATAAAATTGAGATATAATTAGATAACTACTATACAAATGTCAATATAATTAAATAAAAAATGTTAATAATGTTAGTATATGTTTATAAACTAAAGTGTATATTAAAAAATATAATATTCAAAAATTTGTATAATACAACAAAAATAAAGACATATTTGAAATGCCAAATATGGTGATTTTGAAATCGAATTGATCATCGATGTGTAATTATTTGAAAATATGAAAAATTCACAATTTAATAAAGTTATAAAATTGAAATAAAATAAGGCGTTATAAATTATAAGTTTTTTAATGTAACTTATTCAAAAAATTTTTTTAATGTAATCAGAAATAATAAAATAAAATCTATTTAGAATTATTAATTCTTTGTGTAAGAAATAAATAATCTCGTATATTTAATATTCTTAAGAATAAAGTGAATGAATAAGTATTAGAAAAAATTGATAGAATACTTTGCACAAGATTTTATATTCTCAATTTCTATAATCGTTTGAAATGTTATTGTCAATAAATATTTCTTTATAAATTTAATCAAATTGATGATTATAAGTAATGAATAAGTATTCATTACATTGGCCCTTTACAATTTAATGATTTAGAACAAGGTCAAGCCCACACAAACAACCCATTAAACATAAATACGAGTTGGTTTAAATTAGGCTGGGATAGTTCTGAAGCTTGATTTTTAAATTAGTGTAATTTAAAATCATTTATTAATATTAATTTTTTGCCTATAATTCAATGTAATGAAATGGATGAATTTTTGAAATGGATGAATTTTTGACTGAAATGGATGAATAATTTTATTCGTAAATTTTTATAACAATAACAAATAATTTGTTATTGTAAAATAACTATGACCTGAAGAATCGAACTAGGTCAAGATGAATAGCATTACAAAGTAATAAACCTGATAAAATCTTTATTTATAATTACAATTTTTATACTTACAATAAATTGGAAATGAATGAGAATAATAATCCAAACAAGAAAAATTTAATTCAAAATTTACTATTAAAGTGCCCTGCAAAATCCAGAATAAAATGAAATAATTTATTTAGAATTATTTGTTTTTTATATATAAGTAATAATCTTGGAATTTAATATTCTTAATCAACAAAAGAATTTATTAAATTGGCATCAAGAAAATAAACATTGTGGCACGCAAACACTACTCTCAATACTTCGACAAAGATTCTGGATCTGAGAGATTATATAAATTAAATAAAATCAATAAAAATAAAATATTCGAAGACTACATTGATTTAAAAATATAAATTCATAAAAAATAGACTAATAATAAATAATATTTTTAGATATATTGTAGAAATATTTAAAAATATAATTAATTAAGTATCGTATATTCTAAGAAAAAAATCTGGCATAACTTACTTTAATTGTAAGAATAAACTTTAAAAAATAAAAATTTTAATTCAATTCCCATTATAATATAATTATCAAGTTTACCAATATACCTACAATTAAAGAAGTGAGATAAACTTATTTAATTATTTTAATAGGAAGAAGTATTAAATAGGGGATTTTAATTAAACTTTGAAAGAATCATCTGGAAGAGAAATTATTGAATATAATTGAATTAATGGGAAGATTGAATAAATTGATCTGAATTTGTTTATTTGATCCAGCTAGCCGGATACATTGTAAAGTAATTAAAAGTAAAAAATCAATAAATTTTTTTCAATTGGGATTTTATAATCCGATTGGCAAAGAAAAAAATATTATGTAGAAATTTGAAAAAATATGCAAATCCGGAGAAACTTCTGTATTAATAAATAATATTTATAATTTAATTAATACAAAATGTAAACAAAAAATGAAAATGAGATATAATTATATAACTACTAAACAAATGTCAATATTAAAAAAAATGTATGAATTATATACATATTAGTAAATGTGTATAATATAAAAAGTGTTTATTAAAAATATAATATTAAAAAGTTTGGATAATGTTCCCGCGAATTGAACAGGACCTGTTTCCGCGAATTGAACAGGATCAACATCTTTGATACTATTATTATATGTAGTATTTGATAATAATATAAAAATTGATAATATTTAATATATTTTTGCTGGGATGGAAGCCTATAATATAATTTGAACACCAAATACATATGCATTATTATCTAAATTATCTAAGATCTATTTTGAATATAATCTTTTTTCAATAAATATCGATAATTTTTGTCACATTTTAAAATGACTATTACAAATCGAACACTTTAACAAAAAATTTATTAAACAAAACATGTTAATTATAATTTAGTTGTAAAAGAATTATAGTTATTAATTTCAACTTATATAGTTCAAAATAATTATTCGTATGTTTTTATAACAATAACAAATATTATTACTGTGAAATAACAGTTATGAACGGAAGAATTCGGACTAGGTGAAGATGAATATAAAAAAATATTTTATAAATTTTTATAAACAAGACAAAATTAACTTAAAAGTTTATGATTAAAGATGTGCTGCAAAATCAAGAATAACTTTTTATTGATAAGAATGAGTAAATTTATAATTTTAATATTATGTCAAAGAAAGCAAAATTTTGTCAAAGAAGGCAAACCGCAGGCAAAATTTTCCTTATTTGTTAAAAAAAGGGAGAGAGCGTCTTTAAATTAAAAAAAACAATACACCTACAGGAATCGCCACCTGTAGTGACTTTAAATTCTTTTTAAATGTTAATTCGAAAAAATTAATAATATTCAACAAATTTATTTTACTTAAATTTTAACTTTTATATTGTTTACATATTCATATGAATTTTTATTTGCTTTCCTCATTTTTATTAACAATTAACAATTTAATACTTGAATCCCAAAAGGAATTTCGGGTTTTACAATTCCAAATGGCCTTCCAATTTTAATTTATAATTCCAAATGGCCTCCAATTTTAAAAATGTACAATTTCAAATAATCTCTTAATTTCAATCACGAAGAAATGAAGAGAGATTTAGTTAAATTTAAAACCCTATCCACACCAGTTCCAGGACTATTAGCGCCGCAGGCGAAAATTTTCCCAAAAACAGCTTAGATATTTCTAAAGAATACATACCGTATTTTCTCTATTAGAATGCCACTCCCCAGTTGAATGTCAGTCTCTAATAAAATGCCACCTTGAAAGATGATTGAAAAATAGAATGCCACTCTCTATTTGAATGCCAGTCTCTAATAGAATGACACCCTTTTTTATTAATGAAAATTTTTAACTATAAGAAATATTTGATCCAGTAATGCCGTTCCTCAAATTTTCCGGGATCCAACCAAGAAACTATTTCAGAATATCAGTGGATTTGAGTTATATCGGAGGATATTGGTGGATTAAAGTGATTAGCGGATTTAGAGTGATATGGGGGAATTTATGGTGATCAAGAATTATATACCTAATCAGATTTGAGGAATAAAGAGATTAAGAGATATTTTAGGATTAGAAGGGATATATCGGTGATTCAAGGGAACAAGAATGATATAGGGATTAAGAGGGATATTAGTAGATGAGTTTCGGCTGAGTAAGAGGGATATGAGCAGATTCGAGATTAATTGATAATACAGAGGCTACTTGGAGGTTTGAAAAAGTTTTTGCCGCTGATACTGAATTATTGTATAGTATAATTATAATTTTTGTGTATTTGTCAAATAATTCGAAAATTTTAAATTTGGGTATTAGTAAATTTGGGTATCATTTAAATTTGGGTATTATTTTAGCATTTTTACTATTTTTGTTTAAAATTAAAGCTTGAGTCAATGGGGTTTCTAGTCGGAATTTTTTTCAAATTTTAAAATTTACTCATCGAAAAATAGAATGCCGCTCTCCAGTTGAATGCCATTCTCTAATAGAATGCCACTTTAAAAGGTGATTGAAAAATAGAATGCCATGGCATTCTAATAGAGAAAATACGGTATATACTTATACCTACAGGATATCAACCCCTGCAGGATATCAACCCCTGCAAACAATTTTTTTGATTCTCTTTATATTTAAATTCCCTTCTTCTCAATTCCCTCCAAAGGAATGAGAGGATGATGGTATACACTCTGTCACAAAAGTATAAGCACCCTTAAAATTTTTGTGAAAACACATGATCCCTTCACATTATTTGTTTTATTTTTTTCGTACATTTGCAGCGATCCAAACCGTTAATAAAAATAAAGTTTCAGAAAATTTTATCGATTTAAAAATTTTAAAATTGAATTTTTTCAAAAATCATGTGTCACAACATATAAGCACTCCTGTAAAAATTTCATTTCTACTTATTGTAAAATTCTACAAAAAATACAGTAAATATCTCTATCGATATTATAAAAAATAAAAAAAGAATTAGGCCCATATCTCATTCCAGTGTCGAGAACTCGATACCCTGAAAATCAACGTAAAACAGGGTTTTTCAACTTTAAAAAAATTTTTCGACCCCTTAGGGAATGTTTTAAATTTTCAATTTAAGCTCATTCGAAAGCCAATTAAATTTGCTACAAGATAGAATAGGTTTTATTTTTCAGAAAAATTATTTCAGCAAGTTATTACGTTTTAAATTTCTAAAGCACAAAAAACGTCCCATAAAATTAGCTCCTGAGGATTAACGTCCTATATATTGCTATTGAATTTTTTCCTAAATATTTGAGTATCGCTATCTTGTAGCAAATTTAAAGGGCTTTCGAATGAGCTTAAATTGAAAATTTAAAACATTCCCTAAGGGGTCGAAAAATTTTTTTAAAGTTTAAAAACCCTGTTTTACGTTAATTTTCAGGGTATCGAGATCTCGACACCAGAATGAGATATGGGCCTAATTCTATTTTTATTTTTTATAATATCGATAGAGATGTTTACTGTATTTTTTGTAGAATTTTACAATAAGTAGAAATAAAATTTTACAGGGGTGCTTATACTTTTGTGACACATGATTTTTGAATAAATTCAATTTTAAAATTTTTAAATCGATAAAATTTTCTGAAACTTTATTTTTATTGACGGTTTGGATCGCTGCAAATGTACGAAAAAAATAAAACAAATAATGTGAAGGGATCATGTGTTTTCACAAAAATTTTAAGGGTGCTTATACTTTTGTGACTTTTGTGACAAATTTTTAAAACAGTCCATGGTACATCAGGGCTGTCCGTAATTGAAAAAATTTTTACGCAGCCGCAATCCGCAATTCTAATTTTAAAATCCGCAGCCGCAATCCGCACTGGTATAAATCCAAATTAAAATTTAATTAAGTTTCAGCATCCAAACCCCTGAACTTCTTATTAGACAATCAAGATAGGGGAACAAAAGAAAAATAATCCATTGATACACAATCCTTTAAAGTCCGTTTAATGAAAATACTGAAGTGTACCAAAAAAATTAAATTCTCATAAAAAAATCCGAGTCCATAATTTCAAAAGAAAATTTTTAAAACAGTCCATGGTTAAAAAAACAGTCCATGGTTCAACAACGAATTTATTTTTCGAAACATGTTAAATTAAAATTTAGTCGTTTAAGAATTATTAGTTTTTAATTTCACTTTACAGTTAAAAATAATAAATTATTCGTAAATTTTTAACACAATAACAAATAATTTGTTATTGTAAAATAACTACTACATAGTTATGATCTGAAGAAATCGAACTAGGTTAAGATGAAGAGGATTACAAAGTAATATACCTAATAAAATCTTCATATAGAATTAAATTTTTAAAATTACAATAAATTAAAAATGAATGAAAGTAAAATCCAAACAAGAAAAAAATTCAGAATAATTTTTGTATTGATAAGAATGAGCAAATTTATAATTTAAATAATATTCTCAAAGATAATAAAATATAAACATGTAATAAGAAACAAATTTAAACAAAAAATGAGATATGTATAACAAGGCTAATGTAAATCTAATTAAATAAAAAATGTGAATAATATTAGTAAATGTGTATATTAAAAAATATAATATTAAAAAATTTGTATAATACAGCAAACATGGTGATATAACTTTTGAATTGAAATTGTGGAACGTGCACTGAATGTGAGTACCAATTTCAAATTAAAAGTTTTAAGGGTTGATGGTTATTTTTTATATTTATTATAAATATTTTTTTTAATATTTAATTAAAAATTGAAAAAATTATTTCAAAAAATACTGAATTATTATAAAGTTTATTTGATATTTTTCTTTAGAAATTTTCAATAAGTTTAGTGAATCATCGGTAATTATTAAAAATATGAAAAAACACAATTTAAATATAAATTTAAAAATTAAATTAATATATGCAAAGCATTATAAAATTATAAGTTTTGTAAAGGAATTTATTAAAAAATTATAAATATAAATCGGAAAGAAAATGAAATAATTTATTTGGAATTATTTGTTCTAATATAATTAATAAGCTCGGATATTTAATAGTTTTAATCAAAAAGAGAATTTATTAAATTGCACAAAGACAACAAACAAACACTACTCTCACTACTAAGAAAAAAATTTTGGATCTGAGAGATTATTTAAATTAAATAAAATCAATAAACATAAAATATTCGAAGACTCAATTGATATAAAAATATAAATTCTTAAAAATAATTTATTAATAAATAATTCTTTTAGATATATTTAAAAAGAATATTTAAAATATTAAAAATATTTAAATATCAGAAATATTTAAAAATTCGGCGACTACATTGATGGGGGCTCAGCACAAACAGTAATTAATCATCTTTAAATAATTATTTAATCATAAGCATTAATTAATTATGTAAAGTTATAATAAAGCTAATTAACTATTAAATTTATGTTACTTTTAAAAATGCAGCCTATTGAATTTAGTCGCATATTCAAACTAAAAAAAACTGTAGCGGGCCGACGTTTGTCGGCCCGAAAATAGGTAATTAAATATATAGGGAAAAAATATAAAAATACAAAAAATACACAAAAAAATACAAAAAATAAAGAGAAAAAGAAAATAAAAATAATAAACAGCTGCTGGAAAATAAAGAAGGAAAAAAAAGAAGGAAAACAATAGATTTTAATGGGAGTATAAAAAGTTAGAAAAAATATACTTTTTGTTCACACACACATTTCCTCCAAAAGTAAAAATTTTTAAAAGAAAATATTGTTTGATTTCAAATAAGGAAAAATTGAAATTTTGGAAATATTCTGATTAAATTTTGAATAAACCACTACAAAAAACTACAAAAATACATAATATCTGATTTTTTTATAAATTTATTTAGCTTTATCTAAAACTATAAATTATTAAAAAATAGTTTATTAATAAATAATTGCTTTAGATATTTTGTAGAAATATTTAAAAATATAATTAATTCAAGAAATTCGTTATATCATAATTCTAAGTAAAAACCTGGCATAAGTTAGTTAATGATATTCTTACAACATAGAAATATAGGCAAATCAATTTGTGTAATATGTTTCCATAAATATAATAAAATTGCTGATTTTATTATATGTATAATATTAGTTTAATTTAAATAAAATTTGGTTAATAATAGATAAATTTGTTTCAAATCAAATTCTTCTATCCGCCTACTTACGACTAAAATCTTTTATATAGTAAAATGAAATAAAAATATTCATTTTCTTGATAGTAAAAATTAATGAAAAGAAAATCGTAATTGTAAGAATAAACTCTAATAAATAGAAATTTTAATTCCCATTATAATCTAATTATAAAATTTGCGAATATACCTACTATTAAAGACTGAAATTAAACTTATTTAATTATTTTAATAAGAATTTAATTAAAATTTTAATTAAAATTCAAAAGAAGTCATCTCAATTGAAATTATTGAAATTTCAAAATTGAATTAATGGGTAGATTAAATAAATTGATTTGAATTTGTTTGTCTGGTCACGCTAGCTGGATACATTGTAAAGTAATTATGTAAAATTAAAAAATATAATAAATTTGTACCAATTAGGATTTCAAAACCGATTGGCAAAACATAAAAAAATAGAAGATATTTCAAAAAGTCTGCATATTTATGAATAACTTTTGTATTGATATACTATAATATTTATTATTTAAATAATACAAAATGAAAACAAAAAGAGATATACACAATGATAAAACTTCTAAACAATTGTTAATATAATCAAATAAAAATGTTATATTACATATTAAAGAGTACATTAAAAATATAATATTTAAAAATTTGTATAATACAACAAACATAAAGAGACTTTTGAGATGGCAAATATGCTGATTGCGAAATGATTGTGAATGCAGATTGCGAAATTTAAAGGTTTATTGCCGATAGTTATTTTTATAAATTTAATTTTAAATTAAAAATTAAAAAAGTTATTTCAAAAAATCGTAAATTATAAAAAGTGTTTAATATTTTTCTTTGCAAATTGTCAATATCTAGTGAATCTAAGTCTTAAATATGTATTGGAAAATATTTAAATTGATAGATATTGATACAATACGTTGCACAAGTTTTTACATTATTTCTGCTTTGAAGGTCTATTTTACGTATTCAATTAATAGTATTATTTCTATTTCAAATCGAATAGGTGAAAAAAGTAAATGCTCGAAAGAATGCTTGGACCTATTTTTTATCAATTCGTTCATGCAGACGAAGAGACTAGAGTAGATGTTTATTGAGAAAATAATTATGTAAACTAATAATAATTTTTGTCAAATAAAACACCAAACATTGAATAAAAATTTAAAAATTTGGATAACATAAAATTGGATAACACTTTATAAAACTCAAATATTTTTAAATTCATTTTATATTTAAGTTTTACCTGGTTAAGTTTTAAATAAATATATTTTACCATTTAGTATTGATCATATGCTTCATGATTTTTTATAATTTTGATATTTTGCTCACTACGTTGGGGTCGCTTTAGTATAGGTCCACTGAGATCGGAACTCATACCATATACCATTCGAT